TTATAATTTATGAACTACTGGGACTATCACGCTACTGATTTAGCGACATATGTATCATGGCTAGATAGCGTAAAAGAGGATTCACTAGGGCCATATGGTAGGCCATGTCAAAATATAAAACACATGTATCCACAAAAAGCCGGTTTTGTCAGTGTTCCGGATAAAATCAACTTCTTTCGGCGGCTGTTTGTTTAAGGTTTTCCGTCACTAAACGAAATTTATGTCAAACTAGATACTGTTTTTGGAGTGCGCCTCTTGTGATTCATTAAAAGGCAGTAAAGTCTTGTCACAACCTTCTGAACCCTTACGGAAATGCTGACAAAAAAGTAAATAGTTGAGCACTTGAATCCGTTGCAAAACTCGTCAGCCTCCTAAGAGTACTTCTATAAGAAAAATGGTCAGTGTGAGTCAGTTCAAATGAGAAAACGTGTGGGCAGAATACAATTTCCATCACGCTTCTGTTTCACTTTCCCAGATCCCCGCCAAAAAATTAAAAGGGAACCTGAAAAAGTACTCTAAAACTCATCTCATCAAAACCATTTACACCAAAATTAACATGCAATGACTGTTCCAGTCTAATGTATTTTCTAATGTGTTTCAAATCAACCCGCATGTATCCAAAAGTTTAGCTTTCAAACACCAGTCAAAAAACAACTTAACGCGAGCTTATTTACTATACTTCGTGGATTTCCAAAATTTAGGAATTTCTCATTATTCGATTTCGTTAAATTAAGAATTCAATAAAAACCAAAAGACATTCACATCGTCCAAATGGGTTAATGGCATAAGAAAAGTAATATTAATGATATAAGGAAACAAAGCCTTTTTGGACACACGGTTGAATAATTACTTAATGAAATGTTAGCAAGGCCATACCTTTTCTACATTTATATTAACGACCGTTTATAAAAAAACGACCTCGAGTGAGGCTATGGAAACTTAAAAGTATGTCTTTGATAGCTTCAGGCAGTAATATCAACGATGGCGTAACAAATGCAAACAAACATATTTCAAATTAACAACTGTTTCATCCAAGAATGTAGGCTGTTTGTTTATATTTTTCGTGTCATCGTTGGCATTGCAGTTTGAAGCTATGAGAGAAATGAGTGGTTTAAAAGTGTCTTCTGCGAGGTGTTTTTTTAATTAACGTTCGTTATTTATTTGCATTTTGTGCCACCTAGTAGACGGACTATGTATTATGGGGAATCAGCAATTATTAAAATTTGTGAAATGGTTTAGTTCCAACCCAATCTTTACTCTCATAATAGAGCATTTAAAATTTTACAAATTGATTACACATAGTAAATGTTCCAGTATATCCAAGTCAGATCGCCCAGATCGAACAGCTTAATCAATTGTAAATTAAGTATATGCCATTTAAAATGTGAAGACAAAAATATATTTTAATATAAATAATATTTCTACAAAACCGATTTACCGAGTGGTCTGAAAAGTTGGCTACAAATCGAGCTTTATTTCCAAATAAATTTAGTTGTTTAGGAAAATAACATAATTTATTGGATTAATAGAAACAAAACGAAAGTAGATAAACGATCTTCCTAGGTTCGTTCCATTCTATAAAATGTGTAGTTGTTGAAGAAAAACATTTTTTTTTTTGATAAATAAACCATTGAAATGTTTAATTACCTAATTTAATAAAACATAAAACTCAAAGCAGATGTAGAATTTGTCTACAGGTTAATAAAAAGGGGTGCGCGAAAATAATGAGCAAATAATCGAATAAAACATATCTTAAGAAATTGCAAAATTTTGCTAGCTTGGTCAAACTTAGTAGTTTTATGGCACAGTTGGATATTTACCGCTAATTGTGCTGTAATTAAATGTTAATATCTTATTGCCAACGGAACATTAAAGCATTCATAAATGCATGGCAGAAGTACCTACAGGTTTTTGTGTATGTCACGAGAAGCACTATCAGGACCGAACCTGTTAGTTCCAACCAGGAGGGCTTAGCTGATGAGAACTAATAGGTTCAAAACCGGTCCTGGGAGCGTTCGTTTGTGATCACTATATCAGCAAATTAACTGAAACCCTCAATAGCTAAAATCTCCATAGTAAGTGCATATCAATGTCATTAAATATAAATGTTTCGCCTTTTTCGCGTTTCAAACAATTAAAATCACTTTATGTTTATTAATCCGTTAAATAAATTTTATAACTATGTTCCGCTTCGTATTTCGGAACTAACGCATAAATTGTATTACTTTTGCGTTTATTATATCTGGCGCCGTAAATTTTATGGTAAATTTACTATGATTTGTCGCAATGCTTTTTTGATCTACTCGTAAAACATTCTATTAAAATTAAATGTTTTTTTATTGCTCATCGGATTTTTACCGTTAAAAAGTACATAGAAAGTATTTCATATTAAATTAATTATTATGTTGGGTATAGGTCACATAAAGCAACTAATTACTTGCGGTATGAATAGAGCTTTGTTCTTGTTAAAACTGGTTTGTTGACAAAGTTAAAGCAACTAAAATTGTGAAGTCGAGAGGAGGTGAAGTAAGAGCTTCTGGCTTGAGAACATTGCTCTAAGAAATTCAAACCGAATAGAATAGTTAATTAAATTTATTTTTACCAGATTGGTTGTTCTCGACATAAAACAAGTATAAAGTATAAATAAAGCTTCAACTCAGGGCTGTACGAAGCATCGCAGATTAAGTTTAAGGGCATTTTGGTTAAAGATAGAGACATAAAGCAGCTAATCACCGTGAGTCTTATTAAATAAAGCTTCACCCTTGTTAAAACTATTTTAGCAACGGAATTATGCTAGATATTACCTAAGGGCAAAGATGGAACAATTTATTCCAGCACGACTCTAGGATGAAATACACCATTATTTAAACGGCAGGTAGTCCAAAAACACAATTATGTACGGGATTAGGAAGCTGTTTAAAAAATATAACAGCAGTAACTCAATAGGCAAAAATAAAAAGTTTTATTATAATCGGAAATAAAAAATTAGGCCCATTAAAGTGTTTCAGCGTTTCTAGCTTGTAGACACCAATAGCTTCTTTACACAAAAGGGGTGAATATCAATGTTTTGTGAGAGGACAGCCTCTGTAATTAATTTCGTTGGATTATTGCGTCGACCAAAGCATATAGAGACACTGGGCGAGATGTAGGTTTGTTTGCTCAGCTTTAATTCTCTATCACTAATTTGAACACGTATATACTGTGTTTGTGGATTATACAAAACGGATGAACTATTTTACTCCATTGAGCAATTCTGTCACAACCTTGGTCAATTTTGTTTACATTTATGTTGAAAAATTCTCTCATGATTCAACTTTATAAACAATAACGACACGGATATGGAACAATTACACATAGTAATTGAATTACGGTCGAATGTAAAGCATTTAATAAATTGAATATTTCGTTATGCGCCGCTCTGTTTTTTTTATAATTTAATATTTTTCCACTGGTAATATATTATCCCCGCAAAAAATTCCGAAGCAGACAGTTTGAATGATCGATATATAAAAGGATTACATTAAAAATTGGGTTGGATCAGCAACCTCCAAGGGTTTATAAGGGAAAAACTTATTCCATCTCGAAAAGATAGATAGCATGTGCAGTTAGAAACTTTCAGTATATAAATATTATATAATGTAATTGCTATTCTGCATGTGAAAAAGGAAACAACGGAAAGTTATGAAAAGTGATCGAGTGATAACGGTCTGGCTTGTGATTAATATTAGAGAATCACACAATTTTACAATCAGTTAAAACATGTTTAAATTAATAGTCCTGGGCCAAAAATATGGCACTGATTAGCCTTTCTACTCCTGCATAAATACTTTGAAACTTATTCTGTAGTATTACATGTATGCATAATAAATATTTTGTCCACATATCTCTGACAAAGTTTGAATACTTGTTTTAAGATATTCCCTAGGCATTCACATCGACAAGTAAAACTTTTACTTTCCGTATGTGGTTAAAGTCTATTATTTTATGCATGAAATTATGAAACTTTGTAGGCTCAATGTCCATGATTAAATCCTTCAAAAGGTCCAACATTTCCTTCTATAGATACTTAATACGATTTATAATTATTTGTTGAACAACTTGTAAATATAACCGGGAATATATATTTTATTGAGATTACTAAGTAGCAAGAAAGTAAATAAAGGGGGAGCAGCGTGAACTGTAGGTCAAAACTTCGAACTTAGGGTGAATGTTTCAGTAATTACTCCTTAGTCAAGCAAATAAAATTGACTAATTTATAATGACAACGGAAAATAATTAACAAAAAACAATCTTATTAACTAAACTGTACAAGTTATACAATGTAGTGCGTAATTTTACTCTTCAAGACAAAAAATGAGAAATAACAATGGAATTGTTTTAGAGGCAGAAAATTGAACATGAGAGAATGATTAAGAAACCGGCATTTTACGAAGTCGGCAAATGTGAAAGAAATATAATGAAAATATTGAAGATTGACTAATGTACCACCTTTTGCATGTCTTCTTGGAATAATAAAATTCCCGTAAAAACTTTCAAGAACCGAGGCAGTAAAATATGTCATTATGTTTATTTGTTGGTGCTGTCAAATACCACATCAGTTAAGTATACCAACCACCATTAAAAGGTAAATAATCTTGAGGAATACACTTTGTGTCATTTTCGACTCTCGACTACATCAGAATTTTGATTACCTTGCAGAAAATCGCGGCACAACCAATTTGTGTTAAGTGTTGTTAAGTTGTCTTTCATAACACTCTTACTGTTAAAAATAATACTTTTTTAGGCATCAGCTTTCGCGGAAATGTCGCCGAAGCTTATAAAACCTTTATAGCATTCAACAATGAATTTCTTACTTTTGACGCTTGATGTTTTAGTGATTAAAAATAGGCATAATAATTTCCATAATGCTGAGCTGATTGTCCATAAAATGTATACTGTTGAATAGTTGGGATTTATGTAATTAAAAGCTAGTTTAATAGGAAATTTTATTAGGTACTTACCCAAAGCTTTTGCCGTCGCCTCCGATATAACAACGAACGAAAAAAGCAAAAGTAATAAACCAGGCCTAATTTTTCCATGCCAGGCCATGACACCGTCACCCTGAAATTAGAGATATCCATTAATTCATGAGTACTTTACGACACTACCATGTGTATAACACTTCGAATTTATTCGATGATGTAAAACCAATACTGAATTTGCAACTAAAGCCATCGATTCCTTCCAATAACGCCGTATTTAATACCTTGACTACTTTCAAGTAACTATTTTTTGGACAGCCAAGTTTACATAGGATGGTCACAGTAAACAGTCGAACCGCTAAGTTTGCACCGAAAAAAAAATGAGCTGTTTTCCTTTTACTTTCGCACCCAACACCGCTTCCCTCGTTAACTGAATGTAGGCAGGAGACGGTGTAATTGGAGGATGAATAAGTTAAGGAAAAAAATTGCTGTTGATCAAGTTACTGAGCATCTGGTACATTTGGTATTGTACATCTGAGCTGTTTCACCTAATAAAATAACGGAAATGTCTACATGTGACTTAATACAGTGTCTATAACTGCAGGGCATGAACGATTTAAAATTTCGCCTACAAGGTGTTAAAAAAAATAAGTTTTAAATATTTCTTTTTGAGAAAGGAAAGTTTTGCATTTAGATAATCAATTAGGAACTTCAGCTCGTAATGCAAACTGCTGTTGGATTGATTACAGTTGTTGAAGAAAACTTAGTGCATTTGAAAAGTAAATCGTAAAAAAATTAGCCTATTCATAGACTTGTCCTAACAGAAAGTTTCTTTCGTTAGATGTGTCTGAAGCTTTTCAATACCTTATCGTAACCATGTAACGGTCAGTAACTGTTTTTGGAGAAATTTAGTTCTGCAGATAAAGTTCCTGCAGGGTAGAAAATGAAAAACCATTTCTGAAAATTCGGCATGCTCTCAACTTTACAACAAACACAATTCCAAGATAAATGGCTTAAACATAGACCGTAGCTCGAAACGATTTTTAAAATTTTCGCATAGATCCGTTACCTACGGAGTGATCTAAATTTTCACTCTGAAGCACTAAATTTGCATGCAATGTGCAGATAAGTACACTTATCAACACACTAAAACATTGCAAAAGACAAAAAATGAAAGAGAATTTAAATGTTTAATTACTAAAGACATTCGACGTGTAAAATGGACCTACAAAAAATGTAACCCTGTAGATTGTCGCAACTATTGGCATTACTAACGACGCCCTTAAAATATCCCTTACGTTAAACCGAAAAATGAAATGCCATCAAGAAGTATCAGAACATGTAGTCTGTTTCCGAATATTTGAAATGATAAATGTTCGGCAAAGATCGATGCCAATTAAGGCGAGCAGAGGCTTGCTGGTAACAATTCGCAATCGAAAACCCAAAATCCAGTTGTATATTTTTTTTTCGAGAGGTCAAAGGGTTTTTTTCTGTAAACCGATAAACAACTTTTGCATATTTTCAAAACAAATGAAATTCCTCCGGTGAGACAAGCTGGCGCCAGGATATTTGATTCAGCAAATTGGAAACCGATTGGAGGAAGTAAATACAGTAGAAAAACAAACCAACGATTTAGCTCTGAAATTAACCGTATCTTTTTCCATGAAAGCGAAATAGACTTGTCAGTTCAGTATAAAAGGCTATATCAAATGTTCCACCCCTGACTTACATCTTGTAATCCCAGACTATTAAAGCATTTTTACGATAAACATAACAAAAGAGAGAATTGTACCATTATCACGCAAAACATTGTAATTTTGCGATCTGCGGGAAAAACCTTTCGGTTGGAATAAAAAAAGTTTTATATCAAAAACGCAAAACCGACTCTAGAACTATATTAGGGTAGAGGAGCCGAATAAAGTACAGGAAAAAAGCAGCATTTTATAAATTTGATTAATATGAGTCAAGCACGCGAGGAAAGTTGTGTAAATCGCTTACGGAACATAGAAACTAGCACTATCGTTGGGACCTGCAATTTGGCATGAATACAAGGACCCATGTTTCTTTCAAAGAGGCTTTAGATTTATACATTAACGTTAAGAATAGATGCAGTTAAGGATTTTCCAACTTTTAACCGCTTTCTTTCTTTGACTACCATTCATTGTAGCACGCTTAAAAATTAAAAAATTATTGCACTAAAATGTTTACTCTCTTCGTTCCAGTTCTTTTATATAAATTTGCCCTTATTTGAAAAACTTAAATACTGAGATTATTGACGTTCATTATTTGTATTTGTCGAATGAGAAATCTGCAAAGAGATTAATTACTTAAGGAATCAAAATATTGATAAACTGGTGGTTTCTAGATCTGGACTAAATATAATTGTATTGTATCTATTAATAAGACCTTATTAAATACAATGCATTTGTCGATACTATTGATTTGCTTCGCCCTTAAAAAGCTTCGAAACTGACTTTTTAATATCATAAGTAAGTGGTTTATTATTAAAGGTTTTGAGTTGACTGATGAGGCGGACATTTAAAAAAAGCTTTACTATTCCCGGATCGGATCGCTGCCTCGTGCTATGCTATTTATTAATGATATTGAAAGGTCTCATAAGCGATTTTTTTTCCCAAAGAGACCTTTTTCAACCCATTTCGAGATTAATTATTTGATGGAAGCTATGGAACATATCGATTATTTTAATTGAAAAACTCAGTTTGACGTTTCTTCATATGAACATCAATTATATGTTCCGTTTCGGATTGTGAATGGCATGGCATTGACTAATAAATCAATAATTTTTCACCATATGTAATTAATTAACTCAAAACTATTTTGCAATATACGCTTTCCAAGTGTTACTTAACAAATTAATGGTTTGCTAATTATTGGTCAAATTAAACAAATCAAGAGCTTAGCTTTTAAAATGCCATCCAATATTTTACCGATTGTAAACTGAGGATTTTGCTAATACTACAGAATTATAAATGTGCAAATTATTCAGGACTCGTACAATGGTTGGTATGTTTAAAGAAAACTAATTTGAGGCAAAATATTGCCTGGACAAGGGAGCTATTTTCCACATCGTTAAACTTTCACAATTTTAAATAGAGAAATCGTTACATTGGCAAAGTGTGTGTTGTTTTTCTGTGCAGTTTTACTGGATTATATGAGAATCTACCCAGGGTGCTTCCTCATATCTTGTCACTGGCCCTTCATCACTTATTTAAAACAAATGGTGAAAAGTAGAAAATACAAAAATTGTTTATTGATACTAAGATTTTTAAAATTGCAATAGCAACAAATTATGGTAGCCTTGCAATACGACAAACAAACAAAAATCATAGACAAAATAACGAAATTTATTGCTACTATAGATTTAAAGTCAATAAAAACAATAAGATTAAAATCAGTGATTTTCTATATGACCTCTATTTCAATTTAATCTAAAACGTTTTGAATATATTGGTAGTGATTCAGATTAATATTGTTAACTGCATTCAGTGGTCACCAAAATTGGCATACTGGGCGTTAAAAAATGCCATTTTATATAGGTTTCGCATATTTCTGACATCTTCACTGTTCATAGAAAATTTTGCCTCATTTTAATTTCGCGCCCGATAAAACCTCCCGATACGAGATTACGGTCAGACAGTAGCATTACAAAACAAAATAATTATTTCTTTTAGATTTTTAATCATAACTTTGACGCCTGGCGTTTCGAAAACCACTCAATTTTGGTTTAAACAATATATGTTAAAGAAAAGAAAAAACATTAAAGAAAATTAATTCATGCCAAATTTTCACACTTACGTCTCAAGATGTTAGAATTTTATTTCAGATTTATCAATTTTTCGTAATTGCCACGTAACTTTAGTATTTGCCACTATTCAATATTTTTTTTTTAATAAATGATCAAGGACGGTCAATTAATGTGGACTTAAATTTTGAAAATGCAAATGAATGAATGAACAATTTCATTCTAATTCTCATTCAGTATAACTTTGCCCACTCAGGGCGATCTCTAACTTGAAAACGTCGGAAAATTATCTGTCGGTATTTTATTTCTGATTGCAAAGAGATTGATATTTACAAGATTTGCGATAACTAAATAAAAGCTTCCAAAAACCTTTTCACAGTGAAAAGCGTGCATAAATGCCACTTCGCTCAAACATTTTTACTCAATATGTTATAAATAGAATGCTGTATGACGAATGGGTACAATTCGGGAAATAAAGCTAGAATTGAACTTCATCTAGCAATTTGCTGAAAATATAAAAACGTGGTGTTATAACGCTAAAAATATTGCGGAGGTTGTTTGGAAATTCGCAAAATGTGGTGCCAAGCCAGGCCAGGTGATACATGCGATGGATACTATTGCCATGTTTTTAATTGTTGATTGATGTTGAAACGATGCGGAAACCCGGAAATCGGAAATTGAGAATTGATGGACGTAGTCGGTTCGGGTTTCTCTATTTATCAATGGCATTGAAAACGTCAGTGTCGCATTAATTCAACTTTTTAGATAAATACGATCGGCAAACAGATCGCTCTTGTGGTTCAAAAGTCACACCGCCGGCAAAAAGCTAATATTAACCTTGAACCAACTTTCTGGTTCCAAAAGAAAGAATATACACATATCTAAATACATTTCGGTTAGGTCAACTGAGCTCGGCTTAACATGTATCGACGTGATAATACAGAACCTTTCTTTCGAACAGGTAGTTTTCAGTCGCCCTAAACCAGATGTCATACCCGAAATATCTTAGAATTCCATTCTTACCATAGTATGAGGCTTTTAACTCATAATGAGAACTATGCGCTTTAACACATTCATAAAAGGCTTTTATTGCTAGGAGGGCTTGTTTGTTTGCACCTACGAACGCCGTTTGTTTTATTCTTTCAACTAGCGTGAAAAGGATGCAATAGACCAGCAAAGTGAAATCTATTGAGATGCTATTACACAGTGCCTGTTGCAACATGTTGGGCTCGCTCACCAATAAAAAAGCAGCAAATGTCGCGTTTGACCTATCACTGAAATTTTTTAACGCCTTTGTAGGTGTCGGTTTTTTTTTATTATGGGCATGTTTTCCTCGATTCCAACGTTTCAAGTATTTCATTAAATAAGAAGCAATT